TGTCAAGTTCATGTGTATGGTAGTGTTCCGTTTCATCACTTGGTTGCTCTTTCACTCATGTGCATGTGCTTTCGTCAGTTCAAACTTCACCTTGTCAAGTTCATGTGTATGGTAGTGTTCCGTTTCATCATTTAGTTGCTCTTTCACTCACGTGCATGTGCTTTCATTAACCCAGCCTTCAGTTTGTTAAGTTCATGTGTGTGGAAATACTCCGTTTCACACTTGGGGGCTCTTTCACTATGGGATGGGTGACCGGCATTTGGCTGCTACTACTATTGGTTGGGTGACCGGCATTTGGCTGCTACCATTATGGGATGGGTGACCGGCATTTGGTTGCTACAACGGAAAGACGATTTGATTAGGACTAGAGGCCTCCTCTCTCTCGCTCTCTCGCTCTCTCTCTCCCACTCTTTCTCTCTCTCTCTCCCTCCTCAGCTTGTTCTATCTCTCCCTCCCCCTCACTTGGCATATGACTAACCCTTCTTCTCTCATTTGTTACATTGCCATGGAACGAACGGTAAAAGAAAATCAGGCCTCACTTGGTGGAAAAAAAGGTCAAGGGAAGGGTAGCCAGTCTCTTGTGCCGCCAAGAAGGGAAAGGGACGGACGTTTGAAAGATTGAGAGAAGGCGGAGTCTGGGAGGTGTAATTTGAAGCAAGGTCTGTTTGACTCAACCACTGCATGACTACGAGAAGATAATGGATTGATTGAGCACAAAGGGAAGCGGAAGAGAAAAGGAAAGTTAGGCATGTGGGAAGGGCTATGTGTTGACCCCCAACGGGGGATTGTATCGAGTTTTGCCTTGTGTGGGATTGTACAAGTAAGTAAAGGCTTGGGGTGCGTCGAGCGGGATGGGGCCGGGAGAAACCGGGTGGCAAAGGGAAAAGGAAGAGGGGGCAAAGGGTCCACGGGGCCCTTAGCGTAAAACGAAGCATGGGAGTGACAGTTGTGTCTTGTGACTTGGAAGTGTAAATGAAAACCGAAATGTGAAGTTGCCTGTGCATGCATGTAAAGGCCCCGAAAAGGCTAAGGAGCCTGCGTCAATAAGGATGGATGAAATGCATGAGACTCGAGGGGTGCATAGAGGCGAGGGGGAGGACGGCATCGCCGCACCCCGATGAGGCCGTAAAATTGCAATGCTTAGGGAAATGGTGCGCGGCCTAAGGATGATGCTTAGCCTGCGCACAAGAGAAAAAAAACTCTCAAAGAACCCGCGGACTGCCTGCGTAATGGGAGGAGCAATTGCTTGAGAACACAACCAAGAATCGAAAAAAAAAATCAGCCTGGCGGAACGACCAGCGAGACTACCACCCGGCGTGAGGGCTGAGCTACATCCCCAATGCCAAAGCTCTCTGGCGCGATGGCCCACCCCCATCCATCTCAAAGCACTAGGTGGGGGTACCCTGGGACGTACGGCCCGCGCTCTGAGCATGAGCGTGGGCGGGCCGAGCCAACTGGGACCCGAAGTGGGGTCGACTAAGGCTCGATAGTCTACCGGGGTTTCTCTAGTTTTACCTGATCTTGAGTAGGCTGAGGCATTTTTCTTTACCTCAGTGCAATCTCAGCCTTGGATCGCGCTGAGATCCAAGACCAGCATTACTCCGTGCTACCCCCAGGTGGTCCGTGCTTCATATTTGAGCCCTAAGGCTCACTTTTTTTATTTTTGGTGCACGTGGCCTTTATTTTTGGCCAAATGCACTGTTTCGTTTTTTTCCTTCTTTTGTTTCTTTCCATTTTGGGCTGCCTACTCATTTCGGAGCCGGCCATTGAGTTGGCCCTACACAAAAAAAAAAACGACCATATCTCCTCCTCCAGGGATCTGAATCTCAGATCCATGGTCCTGAAAAAAACCTGCCGACTCTTTTTTGCTTTCTCTCATTTTTGTTTTTTTAATTCAGATGTTGTTGAGATAATGCACCAAGCGCCTTATCTCTTCACTCGAGATTGCCCTTTATTAAATTCAGAGTGATGAGGTCATGGTATGGACCTGCCAGTCATTACTGTGCCAATCCCAACTGGTAGACACATCCTCCTGCACTCTTTTCTCCCTCTTTGTCTCATTCTCCCTCCTCTCCCCCCCCCCTTTTCTTTTCTTTTTTTTAATTCCTGTCGTAACAAGTGTCAAGCAGCTGTAAACTCTCTTTCTAGGCCATGGATCTTGATCTAGAGCCAGACGTAGACCCAACAACTAACTATTATTTCTCGGATTACGATAATGAGGCCCCCACACTCATGGGGGCTCCATTTTGCCTCCGTTAGTCTCAATTTTTGACCCCTCTTGGTCCGATTTTCCTTAACAGCCTATTTTCTGCGTAGAGCCCCTTCCGCCTCTATTTTCTCAAGTCTTATTGATCCGAGATATCTTGGACTGAAGGGTAGGCCTCCCATCACCACTCTCTTTTTGCCTCCTCACTCCCTCTACCTTGGGCTCACTCAATTTTTGCACTCGT